ATGTTAAGGGCTAAGAGAGGAAAAGATGTACAACACGAGCGGGAAATGCTAACAAAGAATAAAAAAGAAATAGTCCGAAATCTGGATAGAGAGATAAACCTGATGCTTCGTAAAAATTCATCGCGTTATGTTAGTTGTTGTATGTTGTCAAACACAATGTGTTTGACAAATAAAAAAAATAAAAAAAATGTTATTTGAGAGGAATATAAAACAAAACAAAAAATCATCAAATCTCAAGGGGGGTATTGTGGAATCTCCATTTACGATTGACGCATGCAAGATATTCGACTTTGCATAACTTGTGTTGTCAAATCTCAAAACTTGTAATCGAGTTTTTTCAATTGACATTACAAGTGTGCGAAATATACGATAAGTATAAATGAATTAAACGACCAAGGCAATCAATAAATTTGCATTTCCAATGTTTCTTAAAAAAAAAACACCGTTAGTATTAATTACGGTTATTACTCAGGCAATTGTGCAAATAAAGCGCAGCTTGTTTTACGTGTAACAAACATACTGGGTGTAAATATGATTTAAAGACCTTGATAAACTGACAAAAATAGCTAGAATTATTGTTCTAACAGAAGTAAACCAGGATTTTAGGCTTGAATTGCTATTCAGGCCTATATGATGTATCATTTTCTGTTATTTTAAGAGCAACGTTAAGTTGGTGATCTGTCACTGTTTATTCTATACGTCAAAATAGAGAGAGGCCTGATTGTATATTTAATATTATATGCAAATATGAATTAATAGGGTTGTAAGTATGATAGGTTCAGATGTTTTCAGGTGACGTTTTCAGTTTCTATCTGTAAATAAAATCCTCAAATTACAACAAAATTTACTGTCTGAAAATAGCAATTGCCCTGTTGCACATTACATACAAAAATATATATTATTACAAAATTATGCCGCTACACCCAAAAAGCGCTATCGCACAGCCAATTTAAAATTTAATTGAACGTCACTGATATTACAAATTTAATCGATGCTGTTTTATTGGAAATATTGCGATTACGCGGATTAAATAAACCATTGTTGCGAACGTCATTTTAACAATTTTATAATATTAATTATTACTAACGTGAATGTATTATTTTATCATTTGCTCCCAAATTATAAATTAATATGTTTGGAATTGTGCACTCGTTAGTGATGGTAGTAGTATTGGTTTATCTAAACAAACGATTCATTTATGTAATAATGCAGTCGTGATTATTCGACACATCAGGTCAAAAAATTGCCATACACTCGAGCTTAGAAAATGGTTATGGAAATATAATTAATCAGAATATTAAAGGAGTTTGAATATGGATTTTATTAACTTTAAACGCTGGCAACAAACTCAAACAAAACCATTGTTTTGACTTGGTATACATAAGTGGAAGTTGTAGCTCTTTTTTTGTGGCTGATTTGCCCTAAGTTTCAAAATGATATTTTCTAAATAAAACTTATTATAGTAGGTACTCCTTCAGAAGCATTCTTGTATATCTTTTCTCTTGTGTTCAAAATCCGAATATACCTAGTAAAACAAAATTTGAACCAAATAGAGGGTTGGTTACATTACAAACTTTTCTGCAAGGGCCTCTAATATTCAAATTTATGAAATCGAGAGATCAAGATAACTATCTGAAAAATTTTTTTAATATTCTTTGGTAATATATAATATATACTGTTTTTTATGTCCGTTAGATTATTGGATCTAGTCTCAGTTTTCTCAAAGTTGTTGCTGATCCAATTATTCAGTTGCTAAAGCATTATTGGGAAACATCATATACAGACAGAAGAGGAACTTTGAGTCCGAAGTATAGGGTTACTAGAAATAAGAAAAACCAGAAAGACTTCACTTTTTTCTTAGTCCAGCAGAATGGCAGAAAGACACTAATGGACCATCAGTCAATACTTCTCGATGTTTGTGGATGAATGCCAACGAGACTGGGATAAACTGGGCTGGGGACTCTGTAACGACTAGCGATCTATGTCTCTAACTCTATTGTCTTCTCCTCGATTTCGATATGAGAGAAGGAATCATAGCAAGGGGAATAACGATCTGTATCAGTTACAGGGGTTAGATTATTGAGTCTAGTCTCAGTTAGTTTTTTTCTTAAAGTAGTTGCTGATCCAAATATTCAGTTGCTGGAGCATTACTGAAAAACATCATATACAGACAGGAAAGGAAGTTTGAGTCCGAAGTATAGAAACCATCGATGGGGTTACTAGAAATAAGAAAAACCAGAAAGACTTCACATTATTCATACTCCAGCGAAATGGCCGAAAGACACAAATAGACTTATCAGTCAATACTTCTTGATGTTTGTGGATGAATGCCAACGAAACTGAGATAAACTGGGTTGGGGACTCTGTAACGACTAGCGATCTATATCTCTATCTCTATTGTCGTCTCCTCTCTATTGATTTCGATATGGAAGAAGAAGACATAGCGAGGGGAATAACGATCTGTATCAGTTATAGACGTTAGTTTATTGAGTCTATTCTCAGTTAGTTTTTTTCTTAAAGTAGTTGCTGATCCAAATATTCAATTACTGGAGCATTACTGGAAAACATCATATACAGACAGGAGAGGAACTTTGAGTCCGAAGTATAGAAACCATTGATGGGGTTACTAGAAATAAGAAAAACCAGAAGACTTCACTTTATTTATAGTCCAGCGGAATGGCCGAAAGACACAAATGAACCATCAGTCGATGTTTGTAGATGAATACCAACGAGACTGGGATAAACTGGGCTGGGGACTCTGTAACGACTAGTGATCTATATCTCTATCTCTATGTCGTCTCGTCTCTATTGATTTCGATATGAGAGAAGAAGGCATAGCGAGGGGGTAGAGAACTGTATCAGTTACAGACTCACACTCCTAGTGCCTCTTTTTCTTGTGGCTTATAGGAACTCTCAGCATGAATCCACCGATTATACACCATAATTGTTGACTGGAGAACCGGCCAATGAAGACTAAGCTGTAGGTCCAGCTGATGCGGCTTATCTCTTGGACATACTCAGAGTGGTTAAAGATTTCGCCTACTGAACGACGAGAGAATCGAGATGAGACTCGACGGCAGTCATTGAACTCCTTCAATGAAGCGAATGCCGTCTGGACCTATTATTGTATCAGTCACAGCGAAGGCAGATACCAAACTCAAAATTGCAAGGAATATAGGACCACTCTCCTATATTCTTTGCAATTTGGTTAAGGTTAACTGGGTGTACAGTGTACAGGATTCAAGTTTTGCCAACAGCCAAGCCAAAATGTCATTTACGGAGAATGGCTGGCCCTAAACAGAGGCAAGGTGCATCAACCAGTGGGCCGATCCTCGGGCCAGGGAGTAGATCTCCCCGATAGAACGAATGTTTTGTCCTTGTCAACGTAACCGAAAAGTAAATGTGAATGATAAAGACGAAAAATTTGTTCTCTCGGGGAGCTCTACTCCCTGGCCCGAGGATCGGCCACCAGGAGAAGTTGGTTGCGACCGGGAGAAGCTGTTCGGAGCGAGTAGAAATAAGGAAGGGAGCAATGTTATGAATCATGCAGGGTGCGACTGCGAAGTAGCCAAATTCACGTTTTCGTAGGTTGGAGAAATTGGCAACACCGTCTAGGAGAAATCCAGAAATGACTCACAGGTACGAAGAATCAACCCCGCAGGGCTCAAGGTTCAAACTGATTAAAGATTAAAGTCAGGCTAAAATAATTTATATAAATTCGACATTGAGAAATCATATAGAAACCTCCATTGGGTGAAATTGTCTGATGGATGATAACTATGCTAATATTTCCAGGAACAGTGCCTAGCGATGACGAAGCGTTCGTGAGGCACCAGGAATGAACCCATCACATTGAATTATTTTTCGATAGGTATGAATATTCAGCTTTTAAGTTTTTTTTTTTTTTTTAGCGAGAATTCACAGTATTATTTCCACATCGCTTTTCTGTAAAAGTCGATGAAGTTCAGGCATTAAACCTGTCAAAAGAAGAGTTAAATTATTACTCCACCTCTCTCAATCCGGGACATCTTCATCTTCTAATAACGCGAAGGGACGCCAGCATCGTAATAGCGAAATCTACCCTACTTTATATTTTCTTCGTCGCCGTCGGCAGAGCGGTGGCGACCGTACGCCCCTTTCCTCGCTCTCGCACTAATTGCACATTCTTCGCATAGTTTCGGCCTGGAAAGACCCCCCTTTGCACCCGCCCGCAGCGCTCGTTTCCGGGGACCCGGCAGCGTGACATCCCTTTTGCCGTGCTTTTGTTTTCCGAATACATATCCCAGAATCGAGGTTGTTTTCGGTTTATTTTGCCGCTGACCACATAAAATGAACAGCAGCGCATCCCCAGAACTTTGGGTGGCGACAATAGAACTGAGTTTTTTTTATTACAAATTTAAATGTCACATTCACTAGATGGGTATCTATTATTGTTTTTAATCAGATAAGGTACAAAACAACCTCAATAGAGGCTTAGTACACATATTGAGATCCTTTTATCGGCCTGACATATAAAGTTTACCTGTTTTGATCTGACAAACCTTTTATTGTTGAAACGGAATCAAAACAAAAAAGTTAGTACCTATTATCTATAAATACAAATGGAAACCAATCCAGTTAGGTACCCTACGCAAAATAGAATAATCTGAGGAAGAACAAATATAATTTGTTAAAAATTTCACTATGTTGCATGTCCGTTGAAAGTGTTGGTTAATTTATTCAAGAACAATTGTAGTAGAGATTTCCAAGTTGTACACTCAGTAGTCATGCTGCCTGTAGCTGTTTCAAGGTAGTTGTGATGAAGACTTAACAAAAAATATGTTTCCATACAGGATGTACCTACTCTGCTCTCGGAAAAACTAAAAGCATGAACTATCAAAGTGTTTAGACCATAAAATAACTTGGAGTACTTCTGTTATGGTATGCCAGGTATGTGGCTTGAAGTTGTTACATCGATTCCTTTCGCAGCCTTACAAAAAATAGGATTTCAACTGACTTACCGTACATCTTTCCTTCGTCTGATAATATAATTTTCCGTCGTCCGCATGGTGGGTATATGGCCAGCGCTTCCTGAAAACTTTGTTCTATATCCGGACTCCATACGCCTTCGGCGTCGGCCGCTGTCATGTCCTTTTCATCCTAAAATTTTTATAGAAATCAATAAACCTGAATCCGAAAAATTGTAATCATCAATGCACTAATTATAACGCCATCTAATCGGCGGTGAAACAACTTAGCATTGGATAATGCTTCGAGTTCGGATAGAAGATAACTTAGCACAGAAAGTCACTTTTGGTGTGGATGCTAGGTCGGTGATAAATTGAAATGAAACATGATAACAAGTTTTTAACAGGCCGGCGCGACATATCACACAACAATGAATATTGCAATCAAAGTTGAGAGGTGGAAAAATCTCTCGAATTGTCAACATCAATGTTGACCATCTGACCATAAAGATCTTGCGATTTGACAATAGAGTTTTGCGAAATGGCAAAATGTGGTGAAAAAAGCGTAAACAAACATACCTAACTTGTTTGGTGCTAATTTAAAGAAAAATCCATTGTTAGAATCATTGATATTATATTCTCTTTCATGAAAAAAATAAACAATACACTAGATGTGCACTGAATCTGCAAATGAATTTACCTGAAAATTTTGACATGAATGAACAACCCTCAAAACAATGAAAGTGAAGCTTTTGTAATGTGGGAGGGTGATCAATTAAATTGAAACCCCTTCAACATCCAATTTCAATTTCCAGCGGTTAGTATAGTGCATTCTACATTCTATAAGACGGCTCAACGCTATCATGTCATTAGTGTTGGTGTCAACAATAATGCCGATTGATCTCATTTCACATGAAGTCTTTTGTGATTAACGAAACAAGTTTTAATAATTTAGTTAGTACCCTGGCCGATTTGAAGAAAGTTGTCATGGGTAAATAGATTTTGTATCGAAAATACAGTTCGAAATTTGTTAGGACACAAAAGTGAAATGTTATGCTTTGATGGGTTCAAAACATGTTTGTGCAAAGCCCATAGTGAACTAACACTAACATCTTCGGAAATCAATGTTCTAGATCTTCTAGAACTTGAGAACAAGTAAAGCTCGAGATGTAGAGGCTTTTAATCATATTCTTTCGAGAGAAATAATTGAACGGCTACGGCTTCAAAATTGAGTCTATAGAACGGTAAATTTATCTTGCAGATAATTACCAGCAGGTTAATCTGAAAATGAATAAACCGGGCCTAATACAGAAAAATGGAAATAGCTTATTATTGTAATTATTTTTTTTTTTTTTGTAAAAACAGGAAGAATATTTACGACCAGATAAATAATCTGACTAAAAATTTCGTAATCCAATAGGGATCGGACACATTCAACACAGTAGATGGAAGTGAGATTATTAGACAAATAATATTTCTGAAAAATAAAAGCTTATCGGGTATTGATGGTACTAGTTCCAAACCTCGTCGTCTTGATGACAAAGCAACTCTAGTCCCATTTGAATCTTACCAGGAGGCAGCAGAGTGTTTTGTACAGCTACAGCAATTCCAGTTTTATCACTAAACTCTGCCCTACAGGTATTAGACCAACACTTCCAGTTGAATCCTACTCCAGAACAGAAATATACACCATAAATTTCACCCCAGAAAAGGTAGAGATCGCCATTGAGTCCCTAAGGGTGAACTCCTGAGATCCCTCCAATATTTCTTAAAAATTGTTTGCACACTCTAAAGCACTTATGAATGATAATATCCACAGGAGATTTCTACAATCTTAGAAAAAAAGCAGTTGCTATACCAATATTTAAAATGGTAAGTAACAAAAAGCTAGTAGAAAACTACAGACCAGTCAGCCTGACCGGCGCCTATGTGAATGAATAAATGTATGGAAAAACTCAGTGCTAAGGAATTCAAAAGCTTTTTCCTGGAAGCTCATATTATATCAACAACATGGTTTTCTCCCAAAAAAATCCACTTTTACGAACTTCCTCAACTCAATACTAATGTGGACAAAGGCTGATGATGAGAATGATCCAATTGATGTACCTACTTGAGTTTGAAAAAGCTCCTCTTTTTATAAACCTTGGTTTGTGTCAATCGCTCGTCGGCTGTCTTTAGCTGAGTTCGGAAAATAGCTCCAAGAGCAGAAAGATGGAAATTTTGACAGTTTTCACGTGTTCAACTCATATACGTCAAGTTCGGTTAATCCTCCGCGAGTGGAAACTTGACACTGGTGGCAGAAGCCCATGTGATTTTCGATTTGATGTTTCACAACTGATCACGTGAGCCTGTCATCCTTTTGTTTCCTGAGGACCGAACTCCACTATAAAATCAATTTGAAGTCACATGTAAAAAAGCTGTCGCATTTGCTCGCCAATTGTCATTAGCTGACTTTCTCCGTCTCTTTACGTTATATCTTTTTTCTCTCTTGTCTCTCGTGTAACGAAATTTGTCAAAACGTAACGCGTGGCGTTACATGTCGTTACGTGTAACGTGACGCATCTTCCAAAAAAATCACTCCATTCTCGTCCAAATATCAGACCGCCGCCTAAGAAGTTTCGCTTCAAAGAAATCATGTGTAATATCGTACACGTGTTAAAAAGTGAAACTTCTTAAAAACTATTTCCTCCCTCTTAGAACTTTTAGACTTAGGGCCAAAGAAAAGGAAGACGCGCATCTGTAGTGACGTCACAAGGGTATCGGCGCTTGACAATAGGCAATCCTCTTTGCTCCTAATCCTTGGTTTGTATCAAATCGTTCGTCGGCTGTCATTGTCATTGGCGCTCTTTCTCCGTCTCTCTACGTTATTTTTTTTTCTCTTGTCTCTCGTGTAACGAAATTTGCCAAAACGTGACGTTACGTAACGCGTCTTTCAAATCACTCTCGTCCAAATATCAGACCGTCGCCAATGTTGTTTGAGAGAGGTGGGCTGCCTGATAACTTCATGACGTCACCTGGGGTGTCTCAACATAATGCACATCTCCATAAGGCACCCCAGATGCGTCATCAAGTAACCCATTACCAGGCAACCTATCAACTTGAGGAACCTTGAACCGCTGCCTAAGAAGTTTAAAAGACAGAAGAACGAGGGGAGACCTTATTGAAACTTACAAAATACTGAATGGTCACTATGCATGTGACATTAACTTCTTCCTCGCTACTAACGCCACCAATACCAGAGGACATAACCAGAAACTTGAGAAGGAAAAATGCAACAAGTTATTAAGAAAGAAGAAACTTCTTGACAAACAGAGTGGTTTATCAGTGCAGTGGAATAGACTTATTCATGAAACAATTAGTGCAACATCATCACATCAATTTAAAAACCGTTTGGATCCAGAAATGAGGGCCTGGCACAATACATTTGTGCATTATGATGTTTAATTTGTGAAAAAACTGTGAAAACTCAAAGACCCCGTAGTCTCATCGGTTACCCATCCGCCTACCACTGATACCCATGATAATAATAATAACAATACTTAAAATATACAACGTCGATCCGGCTCAGTAGACCTGGCCCCCCCCAGTTGATAATTTTTATCCAAAACGCTAGCCCTCGTTCTCCAGAGCTAGCGCAACCTAGCGCAACTTTTCCGAAAGCTAGCGCAGCTACAGGTCAAAAGATATGTGGCTTTATATTCGGGGGGGGGGGGGGGGGGTGGGGGGGGGGGGGCTAGGGTGACGCTAGCCCACCCCAGTTATTCGATCTTTTCAAAAATGCTGGCGCACATTCGTAACACCTAGCACAGCCTAGCGCAAGTTGTGTCATAGCTAGCGCAGCTATCGTAGCTGTCATACAGGGTGGAAAAAAAAAAGTCATGAGCTCCTACAAGTGATTTTCAATTTTTTAAAAATATATATGAAGCTTCCTTAAAGCTAGCGCAGGTAAAATTCGAGCAACCGCATTACCCCTTGAAAACATATACAGGTATTTATTCAGGTGGGGGGGGGGGGGGGCTAGATCAACGCTAAGCCCCCCCCCCAGTTGTTAAATCCTTTTCAAAATGCTAGGCGTAAGTTCGTGACACCTAGCGCAAGTTGTGTCGTAGCTAGCGCAGCTATCGTAGCTGTCATACAGGGTGAACAAAAAAAATCATGAGCCCCTACAAGTGATTTTTAATTTTTCAAAAATATATACGAGGCTTCTTTAAAGCTAGCGCAGGCTAGCGCAGATAAAATTCGAGCAACCGCATTACCCCCTTTTAACATACACATCATCAGGTATTTATTCGGGAGGACGGCTAGAGTGCCGCTAGCCCAACTCCCCCCCCCCCCCACAGTTGTTAAATCCTTTCCAAAATGCTAGCGGAAGTTTATAAAACTTAGCGTAAGTTGTTATGGTAACTGTTATACAGGGTGAACTGAATCATCGGCGCCTACATGTTACATTAAGTTTTTACAAATTGTATCCAAAGCTTGTTTAAAGCTAGCACATTCTAGCAGTTCAATAATTATCCAGTTTTTTTTTTATTGATTAATTTTTTATTTATTAACACAGTGGCGACAATAGAGGTCCCGCCGCCACTTTGTGGCTTTCCTCTTGCTAATTTGAAATACGAATATATAGGATTTAAATGGACATTTATCGCATACAAAATTGAAAACAATGTATTTGATGACCATTATTAGGTATATCAAATACCTTGTTCTCAATTTGTTATGATCGATGTCCATAAATCGTATATATTCATATTTAAAATTAGCAAGTGAGCACAGTTCATTAATATGAACATATTATAGGATTTTAAAAAACCAATCATAAATAAGACTGCAATTATTGTCGCCACTGTGGTAATACAGTCACTGTACAACCCACTAGTTGCGCGCGCATCAAGGTTGAAAAAGATACCTACCACAATTTTTTCATTTCTTTGTGAGTTTAAGTTTTAGTTACCTACTTCGCGAATAGATAGCGCTTGTAAACGTTAAATCTTGTCTTGGAACTGGCGACATTTTGTAAGATTTCATAATTCACCCTGTATAACATTCACTTACTATAGCTGCGCTAGCTAAGACACAACTTACGCTAAGTGTCAAGAACTTCCGCTAGCATTTTGGAAAGGATTTAACAACTGTGGGGGGGGAGTTGGGGCTAGCGGCACTCTAGCCGCCTCCCGAATAAATACCTGTATG